TACAGGGATAAATGTTGTTTTCACAATAACACAAGATTCGTGTTGCTTTATTGTTTTTTATAACACTCCCATGGATTTTCTCTCTCTGTTCTTTCTTAAAAGTCATCCATTTATTTGAGTAAGCGAATATTAATGCAAACGCAAAGGGTGGAATATTAATTTCAAAATCGGAGTGACTCGTTTTCCACCTTTTTGAAGACCACGACCTTTTATTCAAAATAAATAATTAAACACTTTTTATTTCACGTATTTTGAGGGCATTGCATACGTAATACAATGTCCAGGAAAAAAGTTTACTCTTACCTTACACAAGCAGTCGATTGTAAGGGATGTGGGGGTGGGGTGGAAGGATTTCATTCAAAATACGAAAGAGTAATTGCTGATGTAGTTAGGAATTAACATTTTATTTTAATAATCAATTAGAATATATTTCTAATCACGCTCATATTTTCAACAACTACCATTCTCACCCATCCTCTGAAGTATCAATGTTTTTTTCTCTCGTAAAACTGACATTTTCAAACAATTTTCTATAACCAAGAACAAAAACGTGTGCAAAATTCGCTCAAAGGCAATGAAATTATTATACTTATCTCTACTTTAATGTAAACTGTTTATTATAGATGATATTAAGTATGTCAAATTATGGTTTTTGAGAAAACTTTTTCGGTTTAATGGACCTATGAAATATGATAGTGCGCGGTGGATATTTTGTCCCGGTTATTTTTTTTTTTTCATTGGTTCTACCAGTTCACGAATGGCATTTCTCTCTAGCATTTCGAAATCTGTAAAACAAACTATACTAAATATATATTAAAAAAAACAATATTTAAATTATTAATTTTAAACAATTAAATTTTACTCCCTTCCAATCGCTGTTAATGTCACTTTCATATTTTATGCTTTATAACATAGAATGTAACTGAAGTGTTCACGTTAACTGAAGGATATAAAGTACTTGTACTTCATGGTCATTGTCTTCTACAACTTTTTTATATATAAAAAAGGTTATCTTTCAGTATGCTCATATTTTGTATTGGCCAGATTATATACTGTTTTTTTTTCTTGAACACTGAACTTAAATTTATTCTATACATTATTCTTCGCGTAAAGCAACCTGGTTAAAACTCTGTTCTAGTAATTATTCCATCACACAATGAGATTTCAGCTTTCAATTGTTGAGGGTGTGTATCACCACACAAAGCCAAAGGATTTTGAAATGTCTTTAAAATGTAATATAGAACGGGTCTTTATTTGATCCTTGTAAGCGAAGCGTGGACACTTCGTCTGTACTTCAATTAGATTGAGTGTGAAGCTAAATTTTACTTAAAATACATTAATGATGAGCAACTATATCTTGAACAAAAAGTACAATATAGTTTATAAACAAAATATGCAAACTAGAATGACACAATAGTTCGGTTGCCATCTGATATCTGTATCATTCTCTGAAGAGAAGCTGTTACATTCATCATGATCTTGAATTACTTAGGTAACCATCATCTGAAAAATTATAATGCAAATGACAAAACAATATATAATCAGAGTTAACTTTTCAAAAGCATAAGGCCTTTAATAGAAATAAGAAGATGTGGTATGAGTGCCAATGAGACAACTCTCCATCCAAGTCACAATGTGTAAAAAATAAACAATTACAGGTCAAAGTACGGCCTTCAACACGAAGCCTTGACTCACACCGAACAGCAAGCTATAATGGGCCCCAAAATGACTAGTGTAAAAACAATTCAAACAGGAAAACCAACGGTCTAATCTATATAAAAAACGAGAAACAATTATGAAACACACCAATTACAAACGACAACCACTTATGAACCACACCAACAATCGACAACCACTGAATTTAAGTATTAAAAGCAAGATCTGAAGAGTTTAAATCAATGAGACTGCAACCCAGCACACCAAAAAGACATCTAGAGGTGAATTTATGTTCTTCAAGAATATATAGATGCAATAAGATATGTAAAGCATTTCCAGAATCCAGTAGTTGTGTACTTTAATCAAGTTTTTAATAGTGAGTGATTAAGATAATAAAACATCAAGTAAACTAACTTCCTACTAGAGTAGATATAACAGTATAAGAATAGCTTGTGTCTGATTTAATTCAAATATTTTTTCTTTATTAATTAAACTTTAAAATGTTTACATTGCATGTTGGATGCTCCATCTGAGCAAAAGCGAACCAGTTTACTCAAACAGAATATTCATCACAAACTGACATCATACCTCATCTTCTTATTTTTATACTCAAGTCTTTACAAATGTCTGCTGAGTATGCTGATTCGGCTGTTCCAAGATCAAAGAACTTTTCTGTAATTTTACCAGACAGGACACTTCGTATCCACAAGTATTTAGATTTGCACCCATAAAATCAGATGTCCCATCAAAAGTCACACTAACGAATTCAGATTTTTCTAGTAAAAAATGAGTTTCATCTCTAGAGACAGGGGCAATGGTATTGATGAAGTCATTTTTGTCGTTTTATCAAGCTAGAAGATAATGTAAAAGACCTTAAAGATAAGATGCTGTTTGGCCACTGTATGGGCATTACGAAAAAGTGTATCAAGATTTTTCAAATTTATGACTTTTCAGTTTGAGTCCAGTTTTTCCTGTTACCTGTACCGACTTCTCAGGTGGTGCCCTCTCTGCCACTGCCTTAGCATTGAGATGAAGAGCACTAGCTTCATGAGCTTGAACAGTGTCAATGTCAGTGGCGATGCTTCCCCTGAGGTAATGAGGCAACTGCCTCACTAAAGTTGTGACCAAGAAAAAAGATAGAGAAGGTCAAAGATAGGATATACGTGTTTTTTCCATATATATATTAAAACAATGAACGAAAAACAAATATGATATACAGTAACAAAGAACAAGCACTGAATTACAGGCTCCATACTTGGGACAGGAACATACAGAATGTGGCGGGGTTAAACTAATTTATTGGCGCCAAACCCTCCCCCTAACCTGGCACAGTAGTGTAACAGTGCAACATAAGAACAAACTATAAAAATCAATTGAAAAGGGCATAACTCATCAGATCGATACAAAGCAGAAAAGCATCTAAAAAAACAGACCTGACGTTGCAGGGTATTTATACATCCCCACAGCAAAAAAGACACTTAAGTATATATCTGAGAGTACTCGCAGTTACTGACAGCTAGTTAAAAGCCAATAACAACTAATAAAAAAAATCATGAATCTAAGACTAAAAACGTTTGCCTCACTGGAAATAAAGGTCAAGCTACACTGATATTCTGAAATTCTAGCTCCCTGTAACAAATTTTCGAATTAAAAAGGTTATTGATCCAATGTTGTGCAAAAAAGCCTAGTTCGTTTTTCCTCGTATTGTGTTTTGGAACTTGAAACTTCATCGTGTGTTAGTAAAGGCCTTTCCAATGTTATACTTGGAATAGCCCCCTGTGTCCATTTCAACATCCGAGCCATTATGATTGTTGTTTACATTGAGTGGTATTTATGGATTGTATATCGATAGCACATGGTCAAGCCTCGTTATCGATTTCCTTGGTAATTAGTTATATCGCGTTGACGACCGGTTCCCTTCGATTACAAGTAACAGAAACCGTAAATAATAATTTAGGGATACCAGTAAAAGGATGAAAACAAGGTCGGCTACAATTTTGAAACTTGTTCTCGTAGAATTAAAAAAAAAACTGTTACGACTTCGCAAACGCTCTCATTAGACCGAGCGGAAATTAACAGTACTTCTGCACTAGTCCGGTGAGATTTATACTATACGGGCTCTTCGGATTACCGCTTAACATCGCAGTCTGTAAGTTGTACTCAGTTGTCAACGTATATTTGTTCCGCCTAACAGAAATTCCCCTTCAAACTTTGCTATAAACAATGCCAATAATATATTTTCCTGTTTGAACAAATTTTCTATGCACTTTATTCCGAAAAGAACAAAATTAATACTATATATTGAATATTTGTTCCAGTGGAAATAATATTACAGAATATTTGTTACACGGAGCATTCGACTTAACGTTCCCATTCCGGCTGGATTGGCTGCGGATTTATACATTCCGAAAAGACAAACAAACGCCCTACTGTAGCAAGGGTTTTACTGACAGAAAAGGAGAAGTTGAGGATTCACCATATTTCTATACCGAAATCAACCTTAGGGGTTCTGTAAATTTTGATAACTTTTTTTCCAATGCATTCGTAGAATCCGTTGCAATGCAATATTCTTTAATCGTTGATACAGCTTCTTCTATTGAAAAGATAAATAATTCTAATGTTGGACAGATTTTGGTAGTATGCGCATACAAAATACATAACTCCAATGTTTGACGTATTTTTGTAGTATGCGAATACAAAAAAAAAATAATTCTAATGTTGAACGGATTTTAGTAGTAAATGATGCGAACCAAGTTGAACCACGTCACATATGAAAAATTCCTTCTTTATAACGCGTTCAACTGTTATTTCCACGTGGAAAATATTACAGTTTAAGTCGTATAAGGAATAAAAAGGATGTGTATTGTATGTGTTCCGGCGAATACAATTGTTTTCAGAATTTCTAGGAAATGAAACCGACACTCTATTACAAGAATTTATATTGGCGTACCGAGTTTGATTGGGTATATTTCAATATATACAAAAAATATAAATAATTTCCATGAATCGCTTTATCGCAAAAATATTTACTGGAAATTTAATTTGTTACAAAACTTTGAATTTTTCGAAAAAACTAAGGATTTTCTTATCCCAGGAATAGATTACCTTAGCCGTATTTGGCACAACTTTTTGGAATTTGGGGTCTTCAATGCTCTTCAACTTTGTACTTGTTTGGCTTTATAACTATTTTGATTTTTGATCTGAGCGTCACTGATGAGTCTTATGTAGACGAAACGCGCGTCTGGCGTATTAAATTATAATCCTGGTACCTTTGATAACTATTTACTATTTTGATCCATTTATGTCACAATATGCGCTCCATATGGTTGTCATATTTTAAAAATAGAAATTACACATTATTGACCCGGATCATTTGTAATGAACTACGACGAGGTATGTATTGAGATAACATATAAGATTCTCGATCTGTTATGTGAATGACAATGTCCTTTGGTTTATGTGTATGTTAGGCGGAGGAGAGCAGTTACGGTTTGTAGATAACCGAAAGAATTTGTTACATGTTCGATGTTGAAATTCGCCAATAATCCTAGGGCCTGTTTTCTTGTATTTGGAAGACCTTCTGTCTCTCTTCTATCTCTTCTTTTTTAAATGGGTAGATTATACGACAGAGGCATATAAATAATAATGCGTCGTTTAGTCTAAATGATATTGATAAATTTATGAATGCAGATATATTAGAATGTGAGCTGTGTGATAAACGTTTATATGGTATGGCAGCCTTTGTAGGACATCCTTGTATGGACGATAAGTTGGATGAAGATACATATTTGCTTGCAATACTCTTATATTTCTAAGACATGAGTTAAAACGTCAGCTAAACAGAAGTTCTAATAGATATAATCACAAATTTCTTGTCTGTTTTTACATTTTCCGTCGGATATTCCAACTGAAAACAAATATGAAAGTATCCTATAAAAAATGGCAAAACAAAAAAGAAGAAAGAAATTGATGGTTATATTATAGAACTAGACGGACAATAACAGTAAGAATGTATTAGTTATTTTAATCTGTCGCTATTTTTTCCAGCTCGTACTAATATATTCAAAATTCTCCTTTCCCCCTTAAAAAATAGATTTTAAATGATCAAATGAGTGTCCTCTTATTTTACATGAGTGTAAACAGATTGATTGTATGGTGCTTATTTTTAAACGTCTAGTGGCAAATAGTTCATGCATGTTCAGGTCTACACGAGCTTAAAAGTCGAGGTCGTACGGCCTTCAACAATGAGAAACCCATACCGTATAGTCTGCTTTAAAAGGCCCCGACATTAAATATGTGAATTCAATCAAACATGAAAACTAACGGCCAAATTTAGAACAAAACAATTTACGAAAAACAAATATGACAAACATGAACCAACGACAATCAATGAACTACAGGTTCCTGACTTGGAACAGGCACATTAACTCAAAAGATCAATACAAGACACAAAAACAACTAAGATAAGAGTACTCGCAGTTACTAAAAGCTAGTTCAAAGCCAATTACAACTACTAAATAAATCATGTTCTACCAGACTAAAGTATCAATCAGTACACAACCAACGGATTAAGTGTAAAGACAGTCTGAGAAACGCATGACCTTGAATACCTTGTATATCTACACTACTATTTCAGGTTAGGGTGAAGGTTGGCGCCTGTTAAAACGTTTAAACCCGCTGCATTTGTTTGCACCTGTCCTAAGTCAGGAACCAGTTTCAGTGGTTGTCGTTTGTTGATGTGGTTCTTAAGTGTTTCTCGTTTGTTATATAGACTCGACCATTGGTTTTCCTGTTTGAATTGTTTTACACGAATCATTTTGGGGTCCTTTATAGCTTGCTGTTCGGTGTGAGCCAAGGCTCCGGGATGAAGGCCGTACTTTGACCTATAATTGTTTACTTTTTACACATTGTGACTTGGATGGAGAGTTGTCTATTTGGCACCCATACCACATCTCTTATTTCTATATACATCCTTTGTTTACAGAAATAATCCAGTTTGGTTACTTCGAAATTATTGGATAGTTAGACAAGATGTCTTGTTCAATCCTATACCAGACAAACATTGACAAATTATTGTACAGTTCAAGAGTGAAATTTTTGAGTTTTAAAAAATTGATAATTACCACGTAGATCACTGTTTACATTTTTACTCGGAAGAAATTATTCCGAGTATTCCTTATTTTGATTGGTTAGCATGTAACCTGGATACAGGACGCTCATATATATTTCTTTGTTTCGGGATTCGCGGCACATTTGAAATTTATTGTTGAAAAAATTATTTAAGTCGGATTTGTTTAGCTGCATTAATTTAGGAAAGCAAAAAGGCAACATTTGACAGCTTTCAGTGCGATGTTACCCACAGCAGAAATCTTCCATCAAATACCGATCAACTTAAAACTTAAATAATGACGAGTCTAATATAATTGATATATGTTGTTGATATTTTCGTATTAATGATGTTAAATAATAAAAGGGTCACAAGGTATACATCACTCAAAGTAACGTTTCTAGGTGAAAAAGTACCTCCAAACGTTGAAATTTAAGCGTATAACGTCATCGTATTGAAAGATGAAAAATGTTGATTTTTGACTTTTTCTCTACCAAACAAGATAGATGACACATTGGTTAATACACACAAACACACAAAGTCAGTGACCCTGATATGAGCATTTCACATCAACAAAATTTATTTATCAACAACATGTTAATTCTTAAATATAAGAAGACACATTTATAAACGATTTGTTAATGTAAAGAGTTTGACACTCTCCCTATATGAGGTATACGATTTGACGTCCCCTTTACGACAGAACGTGTTTGGGTATTTATACATCCCATAAAGCTAAACTAACGCACGTCTTAAACATGGCTTTAGCTGCCGGAAGGTAAAAGTTCAGGGATGACCATATGACTAAACACTTTTCAATCCTTACGGTGTTATTCATTTTTAACCACAAGAGAATGATATAACATCATTAATAGAAATGAAAAGATAGTTTCAATGACTATTGTTTGCTGAATGCCAAGGACACATATGTCTTACTAATTTAGAACTAGAATACACTTATCAATTAATATGAGTTTCTGTAAAGTTAAAATTCCTCTCCTTGTACTGAAATTGGAAAAGGAGAGCATGTTGAATGCCCCTGCTTGCTACGAAATTGTTAAACGTATTTCTAGCATTTATCAAACAGAAAGTCAGGTTCACCCAAAACTAAACGCAAGCTCAATCTATAAAAGATAACCACTATGCACGGTCAAACTAAAAATTAACACAATTGTTACATGCTCAGGAGGGGAAAATTTGGACGGCTGTTGAATTTGGCTCTTCTAAATATGTGAGCAATTGCCGATTAAAAATCTCTTGAGGGTATGATAAATGTTGTTTGAAATTTAAAAATACAATAGGTAGGTTATATAAAATAGGCCGACCGAAATGTAGGGCGTGAAATTCGAACTGCCACTGGAAACGAGGACATATCGGACAGGGACTTAAGGTTGCTAGCCTTGCAACAAGCGTCCTACGTACCTCTCAGATTTGCCAAAAGGATTCCTAAACATGCAATGTGCGTGGCAATCGCTTTATGCGATGCATATGATTTAACGTCCCCATTCTGGCTGAACGTGGCTGCGAATAAATCCATCCCACACAACCAACGGACGCACTGTGGCAAGGGTTTTACTGCCGGTCGGAAGAAGACCAAGGTGATCATATTTGTATACCACAGTCACCCTTGGGGTACTCTTCAACTTTATCCCATCTACGTAAGTTTTTTTAAAACTGAAACAAATCCCGTATAGTGACTTTTTAATAAAACCAAACTTGATATAATAACTTCATATCGCATGCATTTGACTTTTGTGCTCCTTTAATTTAAATTATTTAATCAAAATGTTTTTTTTTCTACATGTTGAAGCTTGTCAATGCAAAATCTTCTATTTCAAAATAAGGAAATATGGTTTATGTTTGGTAGCCATTGACACACCGATCCACCATATCACAAAAAACGAGGATTGAAACAACTAGAAGTATAGCCTTCAATAATGAGCGAATCCATACCGTAAGATAAGGTATAATATTAAATAACTAGGTGTACGCCAAGTTGTGTGACATTCGAAAGAAGAATTCTTTTTGTTGACGTTAAGCAAACACAAATCATAAATCAATTTTGACAGTATTTTATCTGTTATATATTTATTTTCTAGAACCACACCAAAAAGTGAGGAGGTATATTGATACCAGTAGATTATACAAGAGTAAACATTATCATGTTGATTACAGATTTGCCACCAGAAGTTTTATTGAAAATATTCTCTTATCTTCACCAACGAGATTTGGTACACGGAGTCAGCCTCATATGCGAGGTATGGAATGAGCTAAGTTTATGGCCTAGATTATGGAAACATTTGACATTTAACCTAGCATACGACGATCCAGGTCAATCCTATACACACTTTGCAAAAATAAATAACTTTATTCATTCACTTGTGATACACCCATCTCTTTTATATCAGCTTCTGGGAAACTATCGTTTTGCATTTTCCGGCATTCAACTGTCGAACTTGGAACATTTACACCTGACAGATCAAGTGTCTGGTTATCTTGTTGACACAATTGTGCAAAACTTAACATCTATAAAACATTTCAAAGCATATTTCGATTCAAAATTTGACATGCAACGCTGTCTGAATAGTTTAGAAGAATTAAAGATTATATCAATAGATTTCGGCTGGTACGGACTGCAAAATATAGACAACAATTTAATTAAATTTCTAACAAAACAGAGTTGCCTGAAAAAACTCGTACTAAGAGGATGGCAAACCTTACGCAGTGAAACAGTAGCTTTGATTTTGAATGATTATCATGACATCGAGCAGTTATATTTATCAAATTCTCAAATATCAAATGTAATAGTCAACAGTAATCTGCCGATTCCTGGATTATCAGACTTCACAATCCGTTCTACAATATTTGATGATATCGGAATTAGCCAGTTAGTCAAACGCTCAAATAATCTTCGCTTTATAGATATCCGGGAATGCTCTAACATAACGTTTAAAGGACTGACAGAAGTTGCAAAACATTGTCCACTTTTGGAATCTCTTAAATTTGGAAACTCTACCTTCATAATAAACGACAGACTTAATTTCAGCATCCAGTCCTTAGCTGAGGGATGCCCGAAACTTAAATCCATTACGTTTGTTGGAATAAAGTTAATTCTCGATGATGAACTGGTTTGTTTAATCAAGGCTACCAAGTATTTAGAATGTCTAACCTTGTCTGAAAGCGAGACAACCAGTGATATACCACTTTATGCTTTGGGAAAATATTGCTCAAATCTAAAGCAAATCACTTTTAGGAACTGTCATAAAATTTCTGCGGATGGCATAATGTACATTGTTAAGCACAGTCGAAGGCTTCAGACATTGAAAATAAAAAGTTGTGGAGGTATTGGTGATTACAGCAATAATTCAAAAATAGGAACAAATGATAAAACTACTGGTGTTGTCGTTGACGATGGTAATACCGGTTTCAGACAGGAGACGAAACTGCAAAACGATAGCGAGAGAAACGATTTGTTACGTTACAGTGACTCGAGTTATCAACACTCACATTTGCTTAGTCTCGATATGACACAATGTGCCAATATTTTACCAAGGACAATTCTTGCTATTGCTAAAATGTGTCCTGATATTAGAGAACTTTATCTAACATGTGATTTCCTTAAATCAAATGAAGTTGAAGAATTAACTAGAGAAATATTTGACACTTGTATGTTTTTAGGGAGTATAAACATAAATGAACGGGTTATCGAATTGTCCTCAATTCAAACGCAAGACTAAAGACTTGTATTAGTATTACTTAATAAATCAATTATAATTAGGGTCTTCATTACAAAATTGATGGCACACGCTAGTAAGAACAGTCGACGATTATAGAAAGGAACCTAATCTGCCCTGTTTTAAATGACCATTTGGTAATACACTGACAGGTGTATGTATTTGTAAAACTGGGACATGGTTTTCTGTTGAATCTGCAGAAAATAGGACAATTTGCTCTGTATTTTCAAAAGTAAATAGATTTAATTTAGCTCTGATCTTTTCAGAGTTATAAGTGGCTGTTTTCACCATGTGATTGCGTCATATATTTATATGTACTAAAAAGTACAACACAGAGCTGTGTCCACAGTCTCTTTTAATAAAATACACAACTGTCGCTTGCTTTCATATTTTGCCGTGCCTAGTAAAAGAGTGTTCAAAGCCATAAAGGTCACCTCTTGCTCAAGCTATGCATAAATTAAAAGACATCAAAAAAGGGTCCACCCTCTTGGATCAGTCACTTCATGTAAGTACAATCCTGTTCAAGATGCTGCACTAATGGTTCATATCCAGTGAGAAGATTACTGATAGCCCTTTGGGTATGAGGTAGCCATCGAGTACCTCCAACTCTTAATGGCACTAAAAATGGTAGGCCAAGTGAGTTGAAACTAATTCTCAGGTTTGCTCTGTTTAAGGGACTGTATCTGTAAAAACAGGTTAAAATATAAACTGGGCTTATATTTCCATCATCATTTTAGATTATATTTCATATTTTGTATTAATATATATTGTTCATTGTACTGTAAGTTGTAACCAGAGAATATCCCTTATTCTTGATTTGGCTAATGTGATACATTAATTTGAAACAAGCTCCTATATCATTTTTAAATACAGGAAATTAAACTCACCAAAACAAACATGAAATGGTTGATTTTTGTGCCAGAAATAATCTCAATGCCAGATAAAAACATGAATATGATTTTTTGTGCTTTTCACTGATTTGTTGTTATAACAAACTTATGCCATTTTTTTATATATAAAATAGATCCCTTAACTTCTACATTACTTACTTATAAAACAAGTATAAGTTCAGAAGTAGAATATCACATTTCTGGTAGATCTTAACATCTTTTACTGCATCCTTATATGCAAGCTCTAACCTACAAATATATAATAATGATTGAAAATACATATCAAGATGCCATCATAAATTGTTCATCTGTTCACTGACACTCAGTATTATCATATCATGAATATTTCAAATTCAGATTGATTGCATATATAATATTATATGCACTGACACTCAGTATTATCATATCATAAATATTTCAAATTCAGATTGATTGCATATATAATATTATATGATGATCATATAATATTATATATGCAATCAATCTGAATTTGAAATATTCATGATATGATAATACTGAGTGTCAGTTAACTTGTATACTGATTTAAATGAAGATGTAATACATATACTTTATCTAAAAAAATGCATGTATGAATTATCAAAAATACATAAAGAAAATTCAAAAATATCAGATAAGGTTCAAACGTATAATACCTGTGTGCCAAGCAGTGGATGCCATGTATTGGCCTATTTGTGAGATCCTTCATCCTTTTAACTACCCCTGATTTCTTCCCAATCATCACTGATGCACCGTCTGTCCCCATGGCAATAATCTTGGTTTTCCAGCTGTCCCCAAATCTCTCTGTTAGTTGTTTATATATGTTGGAAGAAATATTCTCTGCATCTGCTTCACCTACATTCTTAATTCCAGCAAACAAAGTTGAAACCTACAGATAAACAAACGTACTGGATTAGTAGAGAGGCTAAGGATGGGTCATTCAAACTCATAAGATGAAAATAAACTGACAACACCATTACAGTAGCTTAAAGAAAAAGACAAACAACAATACAAAAAACTATCATAGAAAACTAAAGACTGAGCAACACAAACCACACCAAAAACAGTGAGTGATCTCAGGTGCTCCAGATTATAGAATTAAAAGTGGAATCGTAATCCTAAAAGTTGTTATTCATACTGTAGCTGAAACTGTATATTTTCTTTCTACATGTATTTCACTGATGAAATGGTGTTGAAAACAATAACTGGAAATTCATGGAATAATTTAATTTTCAATTTGTTTTAGTTAATATAATAAAAGATTCAATGCTAATAATTTGTTATTTATTGTTTTACTAAATAAAAATATCCTTATTTTTTGTTGTCTTCTTTTAGTAGATTACATTATGTGTGTGTTAACTCAACTTACTTCACAATCTTTTGACAGTCTAACAATAATAATTTCTGCCTCTTTACATGACGAATCAGTTGCACCATCACTGATAACTGATAGAAATGATGAAGACTCTACCAGTGACAACTGCTCTTGTCTCCTAGTTTCTGCTATTGCTGTAACAAAATTGTGACAATATTTGTCTGTTAAATATGTCTGTCCAATGTCGCAACCTTTTGCAGCGTCAAGCTTGCACAGTAGCACATAATCTGTGTAGGGTTTACCATGCTTTGCAATAAAATGTGCATTTCTGAATAGAAAAGTTAACTTTGTTATCACTGCCTTGTTCATCATGAGCAAAGATTTGTCTACCTCCGACTCTCCTACTTTTAATTTCTTTGTCTTTTCCTTTAATAAGTTTTTTTTGTGTCCATCAGATGTGTCATGGGCTTTGACTGATTCCAGTTTGAAATAGATGGAGCCATTTACAAACGTACCGCTCGTATCGTATCCTTTGCACAAAGTGCAAAACATTTTTTCCTCTTCATTTGACAACCAACTAAATGTCGACTTCCACGACTGCTGGAAAGTCCTGACGCGTTTGCCGGTATCATAGGCCTTCTGTATGTCACGTTTTTCCTCTGAGGTTTTGAGTTTTTTTGCTGGTGGTTCGTTAATACCAAGAAACTTGAACAATGACATTTTATTTTTTGTTTATGTTCGTGATCAAATTAAATTACGATAACACAAGAATAATTCTTATCGATTCAAACTCTCGTCCGACTAAGATGTTCGTTTCCGTATACTGGTTTACGCCCTTTGGTTTACTTCGACCCCTCGATATCTACGGAACCAGTTGTAATGTGCTCCTGCGAGAATAGATTCACGGTAGCAGGAACAGTACTTCCGCTGTCAATAAATAAATCTCGCTGATTTGGGTTATAATATTAGGGACGGGGAAAGGCGTTTAAAAGATTAAATTTGACTTGTCCAAAGGACTACTGAGGTAGACATGTTAACTAGTCCTTCATGTTTTTAACTAGCCTCTGGCGACAGGACTAGCGTTAGTGTCGAACCCTGAGTATAGCTCGTTATTTCAAAGATATCTGACATGCTTATGTGTCGGGTCAGGTCAGGAGCCTGTAATTCAGTGGTATTCGTCTGTTGCTGTATATCATATTTGTTTTTCGTTCATTGTTTTAGTACATAAATCAGGCCGTTAGTTTTCTTGTTTTACATTTGTCATTTTAAAACTGACTTTGATGTATGGATTTTGCTCATTGTTGAAGGCCTTACGGTGACCTATAATTGTAAACTTCTATGTCATTCGGTCTCTGGTGGAGTTGTTTCATTAGCAATTATACTACATCTTCTTATTTCTATGCCCTCGTCGTAGCGAAGGGGGCATTAAGTTTTAGCCTAGTCCGTCTGTACGTCCCAAAATTGGTTTCCGTTATCTAACTTTAATTTGCCTCAACCAAATGTAATGAATCTTATACACAATGCTTATTACCACAAAATACAGATCAAGTTTGAGTTTTGGTGGTGTCACTTTTACTGTTCTAGAATTATGCCCCTTTACAAATGGAAAAATTGCTGAATTTTTCGTTTCCGTTCTCTGATTTAAGTTTGCCTCAACCAAATTTTATGAAACCTATACACAATGCTTATTACCACAAAACTCAGATCAAGTACAAATTTGGGTAGCGTCACTTTTACTGTTCTTTATATTATGTGGGTATATGTTTTCTATTTATTTTTTTAATTACAATTTTGTCATTTAGAATGTATCCGCATTCAATACAGTATAATACTTACAATGTAAATATCAATGCTTTTTCTTTATTAATGATATAATTACAAGATAAAAATCAGGTCTGATATGTGGCATGATTGATAAGACAGTTATTACCCAAAGATCAAAGCACACAAATACCATACATAGAAAATGTATATAATGGCCAACTATATTGAAGTTATGACGCATAAATAAATAAAATACGTTTTTGAAATAGTTCTCTTGAAGTGTTCATTTAGAATATATACCCAACCAATACTGCTGCCGTTACTAAAAATATAAAAAAAAATCTCTTTATGAATTAACTAAAATTGCTAACTTCTACATCATTGGGTCTCTGGTGGAGAGTTGTATAATTGGCAATCATACCACTGCTTTTTTAGTTCCCTACCGACGAAGTCGAAGGGGACTTTAGGTTTGCACTCCATCCGTCTGTCCATCCGTCAGTCCGGCAAATCATTTTTCCGCACTTTTTTTTATTCATGCTTGAAGATGTTGATTTGATTTTTGGTGTATTGTTTTATCATGACAAGTTACAGCTCAAGTTCGAATTTTGTTCCGGTCTGATGATTTTGTGCAGAGTTATGGTCCTTTGACTTAGAAAAATCACTAAAATAATCAGTTTTCCACACTTTTTTTGGTCATTCTTGAAGATATTGATTTGAAAATTGGTACATAGTTTTATCATGACAAGTTACAGTTTAAGTTTGAATTTTGTTCCGGTCTGAAGATTTTGTGCAGAGGTATGGTCCTTGGACTTAGAAAATTCACTCAAATAATAAGTTTTCCGCACTTTTTTTCGTCATGCTTGAAGATTTTGATTATTTGAAAATTGGTATATAGTTTTATCATGACAAGTTACAGATCAAATTAGAATTGTGTTCCGGTCTGATGATTTTGTACAGAGTTATGGTCCCTGGACTTAAAAAATTCACTTAAATAATCAGTTTTCAACACTTTTTTTCGTCATGCTTGAAGATATTGATATTGACTTGATATTTGTTATATAGTTTACACCATGACAAGTTATAGATCAAGTTAGAATTTTGTTCCAATGCAATGAATTTTTAACCGGTAGGGGACTTTGTATTGCCATGCAATACTCACAGAATGCTTGTTTTTATTATGACGTCGGACGTCCGCAACAGTCATAAAATATGGCTGTTATTAAGATTGCCATCATGACACTCTAGCCACTTTCAATCCAGGCTCCTGGTAGCTTCTAACTAAAAAGCTAGGTTGACTTATATTAGTTGAGATGTAGATTGCCTGTTCTCGACATTGGATATACATATGGATAAGAAAAGATATCATACGTTTGGACAATAATATAGAAACATTTTATTTATTCCATACACATTGTGATCTTTTTGATTTCGTTCATTCGTTTGCATGTCATATACACTAAAGTCGTCAAAATATAGTCTTATTTATTTTAGCCTTACCAGCTCAATTGAAAACAATTTAAATGTAAAATTAACCAAGTTAAAGCTTTAGACACCTGTTGATTGTTAAAGAACATATCTATGTTGACCGTCAGATGTTTTCTTGGGTTGCTGTCTCATTTAACTCATATCTCTATTGAATTCGGTATACAACAGGTCTTGTCCTGGGTAGTAAAACCCATGCTTAAGTTCGACGTTTGTTTGGTTATGTTGGAAATAGATACGCAGCCATGTGCAATCAGACATCCAATGCATTGTGATCAGAATTTGTTGCTCTCTCTGCAGGTGGCCTGTAGCGAGGCAAAGTTTCTGCTCTCCCCGGGGCAGCCTGTGAATTCGGTTTACCTAATTTGCAGACCCTATCGAATTAATCGGTTTTTTTTTTCTTTTCATGATATGCATCTCGTTGTTGCGTACTGGCCTCAAGTGTTAGCGTTCTTTGGGGGAAAATCTCGTGGTTACGTTATCATATCTGGAGAAAGAGCAAGTGCTGGTCGGTTTGGTTCACGTTCATATTCATATCACGTTTTACATTTTCCCGTCTTGATGCGTATTTTGAATTTACCACTGGACATGCTAAAGAAATCCCTCTATCTTGAATATGCAATAAACATATATACATGTATAACCTGATATTAAACAAACAATAATTAATTACTTCCTTATATTCATATCTATACCCAAAAAAACCAACACCGAACAATCCAACATAAAAAAAAAACGTTATTTAAAGTTATGTATACTAAGATCACACAGGGCTCTTAGAAAGGTTGGTATGGGAATAATATTGCGATCATGTCTGAATTTATTTTTTAGATCCGGCAGTTAAATCCTTGCTATAAACCCCGTCGTTTTGGCTGCTCTAGATGTATAAATACGCAGACACGTTCGGTCGGAATAAGGACGTTAAATCCGTTGCCTAGTAGTGTAGACAGGAGAACCATACTATTAACACATTACAGAACACTCTTTGAGAGGTCGATAGGTTATCTGTTGCTAGTCAAAAACTTCTATCCTGTCTACCATTCCTTCTGATGGAAAAAGCCCTTCATCCCGGTCGACCCATTTTGCTGTTTCTACCTATTGTATGTATCTTGTCCGCGCCCTGATTATGCATGAACTGTTTACAATTCGACATTAAGATATTCATATACAAAACAATTAAAGAAGACACACCCTTAACTTCTACATTAGGTCTTTATCATACATATTATTTTTAAATGTAAATATTGACATATGGCGATACATGTTTAAAGGTATGCACTTGTACAAAATTAACGTATTTCAACTTATTAACTTGTTTTTATAGGTTGTCCTAGACACTGTTAAAGAAGTCAGTACTTAATTGTTATTATAAAATTATACATTTATGTACTAGTACATGTACACTTTTCTGACCTGGACGTTTGAATACACATAACGTGTTCAAATGTTTTTCTACGATACACAAATATGTCTTGAAAGATATCATAAATATTCGTCAATATATTACAGTAGCCAGAAAACTGTAGGGAAGGGACAAAATTACACGACTAACGTCTTTTCTTTATTTTAGGGTAAAGCATGTCATTTCAATGTTTTTGTTTGGTGTATGGCGTATAAATAATATACTTACTTCCTGAAGAGACTCCTACTTGGACAACGCGCAATACGAGTTATAAATTGTTAAAATGGCGGTTGCTAAACTATGAAAAATTAATAAATAAATCCCGTGGGACTGTTCCTTCTCTTATA